AAGACAAGCTTGTCTTGACTTGTCAAATCGTGCGCATAAAACTTTGCCCATGAAAAGTTTTGTAGCCTTCCATCCTCGCACCCGATGCGCGTGGCATTCGAGTCGGACTCAGACAGGTTGACTGATATATATCTGGGATTGGGTAACAACAATGTTGGGTGTCATCCAGTGCATGTTGAATGCACATGATGTGGCCTCATTCGCATGTTACGTGATCTGCTGAGTTTCTATCGGGACTTATCAAAATGCCTCCCAACCAGTTCCGGTTGCGCGTTTGTTCTCCACATTTTCCTGGCACTTTTTCCCCTGTTCAGCTACGACTTGTGCCGCCGCGTCTCGAGACAAATTGAATTGGTGCATTTTTTGTGCGGTGCATACAAATTGCGAGCCAACTGGCGCTGACGTTGACTTGCTGGTTGAGGTTTCGTAAGCTACTCTCACCTCGGATCTATGCACTTTATCAAGAGCTTAAGCTATAATTGAGAATATGAGTATATTTTTTATTAGTTATATAGATTGATAGAACTAAGTTGACATCTCAAGGATTTCTTTAAATCATATGAAATATATTCCATATATTGTAGGGTATTTAGTTGTCGACTCTGTGGCCAGTTTTGTGCTCGCTTCATGTCTTCTGTGCCCGTTGAAAATCACGCTAATTGTCGCACAGCAAATGTTGCATACATTTTGGTCGTCGAGCCCGTTGCACAGTGGTCCCGTCGGGCTTGATGCCCGGCTCCATTAACATAAATTTGAATAAGAAATCGTTGGATGCTACCGCTGCATTTATATAGTTGCAGAGCAGTGGTTAAATCCTAACAGCATTTAAAGCTAGCTCTTAAACAATCTCACTAAAAATGCCTCAATAAATATGTTGAAAACTTCAAAAAATTTAATAATAGCTTAAAAAGCGTATGAATATTTCTTTGCCATGTCTGAACGTTTTCTCTTTTCTGTGTCCACCTTGGTCGGCTCAAAGCCTTGTCATGTTTTTTGACATGCAAATGCAAGTTGTGGCATCTGGCGCATCCGTACTTGCAGTTGGCATCTCGTTTTTGGTCCTTTGTGTGTGTGTGTGTGTGTGTGTGTGCTGGGGTGTGTGGTACATATTATAATGGCAAGTCCCTCTACATATACAAAAGTCAACGCTTTCAGCTATTAGGAAAACAATAACAAACACTCCGCCAGCAGCGCCAACATCAACAAAGCATTCCAGTGCCACCTGCGGCCAGCAAGCGCCCATACGCTATCCTCGCTCTCACTCTATCTTTTTATCTCTATCTCTCTCACTCACTTTTGTTACCCAAACAAAGATAAAGAGCGACGGTCAGCCACAAGCCGAACAATGATGACGATGCCGATGATGATACCCAGGTCCAGGTCCTGGTCCCCCGACCTATGCATAATTTATAGGCAAATGCAGTACCGCAATATGTCGGGGGTACTCAAGAATTGCTGATGCCGATGCTCCGGCTGTTGTTATTGTTGTTGTTGCTGTTACTCTTGGTTGTGCTTGAGGGTTTCGGCTGAGGGTCGCGGCGCACATTTGCATTTAAACACATTTCCACACTCATGAGCTGCAAATTTGTGCAACACTTGCAACACCAGTCTCAAGCACCGGCGAACCACTAGCAATATGTATATAGACGAAAGATCTTAAGTGGTATTAGAAAATTAAATCTGGTTTGCTTAACTGATTAACAAGAATTAGTTTAACTAAAACTAAGCCAGTGCAATGAAAAATGTTTCAATATCTAGAATGTGTGTTGAGGACTCTTATATCATAATATGTATATGTATACGCATAAAGTGGCCATAAAATTTATCAACAAAAGTTCTTTATATGATTTATAATTTTAAGACAGATTGCAAACAAAATATATATATAAAAAAAAAGTAAAATTAAAATGTAAAAATACTTCAAGTTATTTCTGTTTCACAAATTAATAAAAAAAAAATATTTATATATATAATATTAAAATAATATAACATCTATGAATATATTAATATGAATATTGTTTAAATCATATTAAAATATAGTTGAATTATTTTTAAGTTATTTTTAAATTATAATTTGATTAATTTGATATTTATTTACACAAAAAACATATTTACATCAAAAAACGATTTTAAAAAGGATTATTTTTTTCAATTTTACTGAATATTAAATTGTATAAAAATATTATTTTTTTCTATATTCTGTTATTTGTACTCTTCTTTCTAAATTATAAGTTATATATGTAATAAAATAATATACATGTGTAAAAA